TGATAAGTAAAACTTCTTGCGCTAATCTTTTTAAAAATGAATTATGCTGTTGTTTGAATTACAGAGAATTCAATTTTTTCTTTTTTCGTAAAAAGATTCTTTCTATATGCATAAATTGTCTCAGAAAACATATCCAGGCCAGCGTTTTATTAGGAAGTTCAATTGTCATAGATATCGTGCATAGATACATTTTCTGAAACACTGAACGTTATCAACATTAATATTTACTGACTCATATTATCTTTTAAAAATGATGCTTGAGGCTTAATTTAAAGACTTTAAATACGCTGCATCGAATAAATCGAGCTCGTTCGTTAAATAATTAGCCTTATTTCGTAAAACTTTAGCGCTACTAGTTGCTTCCTCTAATTTTCGTATCGTACTTGCAATATTTTTTAATTCACTATCCATTTCAGATGTTGTTTCATCCACTAAATGGCAGAGACGTGCAAAAGTGCTGGATAGCTCCCTGTAATCACAAATTACAAATTAGATATTATAATTAATTTCCTAAGTAGAATGTTCAAAAGATTAAACGAGATAAAACTTACTGTTGCACTTGATGGCTGCAATTCGCAGATGTGAGATCTACTATTAGTTTCAATTTTTTTGTAGCGTGAGATACGTATTGATGTTTAAATTCACGTTCTTTTGCTTTATTAGTCCACGTTAATCGTTCGTAAAGATACAGAGCACCATATATAGCACCGGTCACTGCTATGAGTCTCCAACCAATTGTTTTTAACATCTTAAAGAAACAATTTCGATGAAATAAATTTTGCTTACCAGTAAAACAAACTTTTCTATTGTCTAATATACTTACAAATCCAGCAACTATAAGTCCTCCCATAGTTCCTTGAGAAGTTATCGATGCTACCGCGATTTTAGTAGCCAATGACCAATCGTCCGATCTTGGTTGATGGTTTGAGGTAGTTGACATAAACTTCACAGAATCGATGCTTTCCGCAGGAGACATAATCGCTGGCGGTATCTACAAACACACAATAACATTATTATTACAAAAATATTTTCTATCGTTGAACAATATTTTGCCTTACTTCTTGTGCATAATTAGTGATGGCCAATCTTTGTCCCTGTCTTCCCGCAAATCTATTAATTATGGCTGTAATCCCCCAAGAGAATCGAAATTCTAAATCCTCGTGAAAATCTGCGCATAAATTGTCACAATTTAATCTGTACAAAATTTCGAATGGCTCTCGTCTCGGCAAAATGTTCAGTGACATTTGTTTTTTATTCTCTGGCAGTAAGCTTGCCATACGTTCTGTCATTTCTCTCTGAGAGTTTTCAATATTCAATGCTAATGCGGTACTGAGTCTCGCTCTTAAGTTAGAACCTAGAACATAGAATTATAAAGTTAGAATTTTCATAAAACGATTACGACAAGTAAGTTTGCAAACAATACTACCTAAGCCATTTTCTACATGTGCATGAAGTTCCCGCTTATATACATTTAGAACTAGCGCGTCAGTATGGAACGGAACACTGAATTCATCAATAAGAACGGATAATCTGCGAATTTCTTCGCTCAAAGCTTTAGACACTCTTTGCTCCACATCCTCCACCATGTGATGAATTTTGTCCTTCATTTCTTGAGTCAGCAACATTAACTGTTGTTCTGTGTAATTCAATTTGTCATGGACATCTTTTTTAACGTGCAGTTGTTCACTTTTCATTTTTTGCGTCCTGTCCAATATCTCATCCAAAGTTTGTCGTATTTCTCTGAAAAGTGTACATTTTATTTCATTTTATTTTATACGTCAGAGAGTAAATATTTGGACAAACAAGTAATAAATTACTCACGTAGCGATATGTTTTCCACGTTGAGAGTGCTGTTCGAATTTCGTTTTCACAGCAGACTTTGAGATACATTCTTCAAATTTTCGTTCGAAATCTTGAAACTCGAAATATCGAGTTTGAAACCCCTCTGCTAGTGCACCATCTGCAAGGAGATTTACAATCATTAAAAATAAATCGTTCACACGAATTACAGATAAAGAATTCGAGCATCCTACTATGAGAAGGTTGTCCACGTTGTTCTTGCATACGTGCTTGTAGCGTTTCTTTTGCTGAAACGAAAAAAACTCGTTCTTCGGCATCTTTGGGCGTGTAAACTTTTAATTCTCTTGACAAAAAATCGACAGCCCGTTCTTGATGCTGTGCCCTCACCTACGCAAATATAAATTGTAAATAAACATAAGCTAGATTTTAAATTGTAAAATAAAAAACAAGAAGCGTATAGTTAAATTTCTGTCGTATATCATAAACAATAGAACTGATGCAACTTATTGCACTGTCAACAGAAAATTCTATTCGACTTAATTTCAATGAGTATTTTTCCATGCTACAACATTTGTGCACACTGTATCTATTGTTCAGTGCATCGTTGACTGCGATTATAATTAAAAACACATGTGAAAAGAATTAAAAAACACTATATGTAAAATTTACAAAATAAAATAACTTACCTCCTTTTGCTCTTTGACCAGCTAGGGGATAAATGGGGGTATTACGTAAATTATTTAAGTAAAGCTGCCACTGCATACAGCTACTTATTAATGAATTCGTGCTTCACACACATATATATCTTGAACATACTAATATTAAATCGTTTATGTGCAAACAGATATTTATAAACAATATGTAGTACCAGCTTTAATAAAAAGAAAATCGAAATTGTTTTTATGCATAAAATTCAGTTTATTTTCAATAAAGAATATTTAAAAATATCTTTTTTAATGAATTTCTTCGCAGTGCTTCAATCATTCAACTTCTATATATATATATATATAATATCTATTTCTATAATTTTATACAGCACATACCTGTTCGAAAAATTCTGGTTCCGAAGCAGATGCATCCCATCTATTGTTCAAAATGAAGATATTTGGTTTAGATAACTTTGTAGACACTTTGTGAAAAAAGTTCTTCTCCTGTAATTATATTATCATGAGTACGTACAATTTAAAATTGAATAGTATAAGACACAACAGAAATTAATACATACTGTCACCATTAAAGTAGATTCAGCATTAGCTACTAACACAAAAACATCTGCATCCAAGCAATGTTTGTCAATCCATTCATCTAGATTTGGTGTTACATCGACTCCAGGACTATCAACAAATACTACATCGTCTCTTAATAATAAACATTTTTCTTTTGGCCAAAATATTCTGACTAGATGACTTTCACATAATTTTTCTTTACAGAGAGCATGACCTAATTGGCCAACCGATTGAACAGGTTGTTTCTCAGTGGATCCTTCTGTGATCAAATAAGATTCACCATTATCTGAACCTTCAACTTGTAAGAAACAATTTGTGGTGTGTCCTATCCCACTTGGCAAAATTTTATCACGTAACATTGCATTAATAACTGTACTCTTCCCGTTGCTAGTTCTGTAATATTTTGTAACTTATGTAAAATTTGTATACAACTAATAATCTTTAACAACAAACTAATAAATCTAACTTATATACCTTCCAAAAAACGCAACTTTCATGTGATCCCTTTTAAGTACATCTCTAATTGCATGCACTTTGTCAACATAGCTTTCAATTCTTTCTGCCTCTTCTGCGGTAACGATATTACGTTCCGCTTGCAGCGCTACAAAAATAATATCAACAAAAATATTTAATCGTGATTTCATCTTCAATTCTTACATACCTCAAAGAAAAAAGGAATTACTAACATTTCATGAACCCAACAGTATCCTGTACATAGTCTTCTATTTCCACAAATATGTCATTGATCTTTTTCTTCGCTTTAACAAAAATCTGAAGCGGAGAATTATCAGTTCGTATATCTGTTGATCTTAAGTGGCTGTCTCCCCCAATCATAGATACTGTACGATTGATGTAGGCAGCCATAATTTCTTATTTATTGTGCGTGTAACGCGTTTGGCAAAGTAATAAAAAATACAGTGCAATATTTTAGGCAGGACGATGATGCAGTGCACGGCATGCGGGATCAACTGAAATCATAAAAAAAGCAATAATTAAATATCTTCTAAGAACAATCTCTATCTATAAGATTAAATATACATTTTATGGACAGCATATAGAATCATAGGGCGCTTAACAAGTATAAATATGTACAATAACAACACATATGTTAAGCAATACTATAATATTCACTGTTTATTTAAATACGGAAACTAAATTGAAAAAGGGAAAAATGAAATCATGGTGTAACACAACAAAATTTTAAATATATCAAGACAATACAAAACATATCAAAATATTGCACATTTTGTCACTAAGAGTCATGTATAACGTTTCGAATAAGATAAATGTTTGTGTTCTAAATTTTCTGAACATTTCTGTGTAATGTATATGTAATTAATTGCATGAAATCTATGACACATAATAAGCACTATAGGACATTTTAATATGTATATATATATATATATATGACAAAAAACCTTCTTGTCTTTAGTCATTGAAGTGTCCTTTGTTTCAATATAAATGAGATGCGCGTTTCAATCCCTCCCGTTATCAAATCAACGTCTCCAAATCTTCTAGAACAGTTTATCAACATTTCTATGTCAAGTCCAGCATCAACGATTAGGGCACGATTTATGCACGTTTCAAAGAAACAAGTTAGATCGATCTTTTTGCGTGTCGGAATAAATGATACAACAAAGTATCTTTTCACGTCGAATGAATTGCTAAAGTCGCCACTTATGTCAGTCGTGATATTTATAAATTTTGACAATTTAAAATATATTATACGTTTTGTATAAAATTATCGCAACAGAATTTTTCTACACTTTTAACATTTCACTCTACAAATAAAAATACACGCAATGAAGCAATAAGTATCTCCTAATCGTCACTCAAATCTTTCCATTTAAAGAAAATAAAAATTTGTTAATGAAAAAATTGAAAATATAATTTTAGATCATTCGGCCGAAACCTAACCTAAAATGGAGTTTCATTTAGGCTAAAAGAATTGGTCATCTTACCGTTAATGGTTTACGAATCCTCTGGAGATATCATATTTCTAGTTAAGATTGATTTTAATCGTTCGTAAAACAGTGAACAACATTTCGAGAGTGCAAAATATTTGACGAATTAATGACGAGATCGAAGTACATTAAAATAGGCTCATATGTGAATTGAGTGGTGGTAACAAACACGTGACACTCTTTGAAAAACGAAGATTTATTTTTACACGCTATTTTTAGTTTCCTTCAAACTGTTTACAATTTATCGGCAATGCTAAGTATTTTACACTTGATTGAGATTCGATTGTGTACAATGTTATACAATTTTAAAAATTTAATTTTTATCAAAAACGTCGTAATGTCGCGAGCTGGATTGGTAATTTTGAATAACCCGCCACAAGAGAATTATTAATATCGGTGCGATAAAATTGCCATATAAAATGTAAAAGAATAATGACGTCAATGCATTACATGTCTAAAATTAATTTTTGGTGAGAACATTTTTTTTTTTGTATTACATTTGTAACCTGTTCGGTGCATTGTGCGTGTCTTTTAATAGCATGGCGGACATGAGTCTACTTCGTCCTCTGTGCACGAGGTACATCATCACGTAGAAGCTAGTAATTACTTTAATAGCAAGCGGTTCAGAATCAAATCCGACATTATAGCAGTACTATTCTCTGATGCGGTAACATGCCCAGTGAAATCGTACATTCCACTAAAGTCCCAAGACTTTTTAAAATTGCTGCCAAGATTGTACGAGAGGTTCGTGAGAATCATGGCAGCCTCAAGTCGTTGATTTTCGAAGGAAAACACCCTGTAAGTTGACACTCAAATATATTAAGAAACAAAAAAAAGAATTTGAAACTAATTAAACCACGATTTAATAAATAACGCTTGGATAATTAAATTTACCAAATTGATCTTCGATTTTTCCCATCATGATCACATGGCGTTCAGTACGGTGCACATTTATTTATATCGTTGTCAATTAACGACATTGCCTTTTTTCATTTGATAATATAGAACGTGTCTGCGTTATATTCTTTATGCCACAAAACACTGGCCAAAGAAAGACAGTTAGACTACCTTTTAAAGAAAACTAGTATATTGGTAAACGAGCCACGTCTGGATCCGTGGTTAGCGAAGATTTTGGTAACGGAGTTACTTTGGGGCAAGAAAACCTTGAAAGCTAAATGCAAACCTATTCAAACTGTGCTTGCGTACAAACAAAAGTTTTGGGAGGAGTTGAACAATGTTGACGATGTCGAGCTTCCTCAAAAACCAGGTAAAACATGTTTCATCACTTATCAATGAATGCGTATTATGTTTACAGAAATGGAACGTACAGGGAAATTAATAACCGCATCCGATAATTGAGTCTAAGATACATTAAGTTAACTTGTTCGTTAAGAGAGTTACACATCTGGATTAATGGTTCTAATCATCCGTAACAACCGTATACTTACAAGCCGGCACTCTAGAATTAAAAGATTTTTCTCTTATATGCGTAAAGATCAGCAGAGAGAAAATCAGAAAGAAAGTTCGCCTGATCAGAATAAAGATCAAGGACCAATTATGACTTTTGTGGCCGTATTGGGGAAATTCTTTATATACAGTATGGCTATGTTCACTCTGCCATTCGTTGCATTTTTCGGAGTACAACATGTTATGAAAGTTGAATTCCATGTAGATAGATTTGTGACGAATTGCATTTCTGTGTTTGCTGCTGTAATTACAGTGAATTTGATAATAGCTTATTATGTCTATCAGGCGCTTCACGAGCCCGATAATGCTAACGATCAGCCTTCTGCAGACGATCTAAATGACAAAATTGATTAGATATTAAAGAAGATGTGTTTATATTGCATATATACATAAATATCTAATATACATTAATAACGTATTAATATATTTGATATTTGTAATAATTATATATAGTATATATTTAGTATATATATATATTTTTTGATTATTGTACGTATATAATAATGCCAGTATTAAATATAGCAATTCACTGTGTATTTAACAATAAATAATTTGGCCAAGAAGAGCATGAGTTTTACTTTATATTTGTCAATCAACTACCTTCATATAATTGTTAAAAGACGATCTTCAATTTTTTTCAGTAAAAAAACCGAGATATGTTCGTATCAACACATTATTACTGCCACTCGAAAAAGGAATATCTCATTTTCAAGAAGAAGGATGGTGTCTCATGCCGAAATGTTCGAAATATACAAAATATTTAAACGCAGTAATGAATTTAAAACAACCGAACTTCATTCAAGATTTTCATATTCCGGAATTACTTGTTTTCCCACCTGGCACAATTTTTTACCATCATGCTAAGTACAAGAATGGAGAAATTATTTTACAAGACAAGGTAATTTTTGTCCGGATTGATTAATCCCTGTCAATTAAGGTTCCAATCATATTTTTATGTCTTCAGGCTAGCTGTCTTCCGTCACAATTATTGAATCCAGCACGAAAATCCGTGGTACTTGATTTATGTGCTGCTCCTGGAATGAAAACGTCTCATTTAGCTGCAATAATGGAGAATACAGGGTAAGATCTATTCATTAGCTCTCATCATTGAATAATATTTCTGCAATTCAATTTCACATGATGTTCCTAGGAAAATTTATGCAGTGGACGTTGATAAACGTAGATACGAAATGTTATGTAAAAAGATTGAGCTAACAGGTGCCTCTTGCGTTGAAACTGTCAATAAAGACGCGTTAGCTTTGATGCCAGATGAATACCCAAGTGTAGAGTATATTTTAGTTGATCCATCATGTTCTGGTTCAGGTAGAATATTGCTTCACGACTATAAAAGAGTAAGAATATTTTATCGTGATCTCAATAAATTCTTTTGTCATAGGTATGTTGGACAGACAGAAAGCGTTTGGCAAAGAGAAATACGACAGGCAGCGCCTTAAAAGATTACAAGGTTTCCAAGTTTTCATTTTACGACATGCTTTGTTAAATTTCCCGAACGTGAAAAGAGTCGTTTACAGCACTTGCTCTACTCATTCAGAAGAAAACGAGCAAGTGGTGGATGAAATTCTCGAGAATGTGCAGAACGCGTATAAGCTTCTTCCCGCGACAGAGTTGCTAGATCATGACTGGCTGAACTTCAGTTCGAAAATATACAATTGCTCAGACAAATGCCTTTACGCCAAATCCGACGTGGATCTGTGCAATGACTTCTTTATTGCTGTATTTGAACGAAATTTCGATGTCCCGTTGCCGGAATACAAAAGCAGGAAACAAGTACAACAAGTACAACAGGTTGCTTCGAACAACCAGGGAAAAGAAGAGATAGAAGCGCTTGTAGGGAAGGGAAAAGAAGAGATTATATGCGCTGAGAATTCAAATACAACAGAAAAACCGGAAAAGCTTGGGAAAAGGAAGAACACGAATGAAGAAACTTCTCAGACTGAGGAATCGAACGATAGTATTCTCGTTGACAGTGTTTTGAATGCTTCTTCCGATTCGATCCAGTTTGTCCAAGAGATAGAAAATGACGACGACGATGATTCTCTATCTCAAAATAACGATTCTGTCATCGAAGACAATCAGCCAGTAATTAAAAAGCGGAAAAAGAAAATTAGTTCAATGATCATGAAACTGCCTCGTAATAGATATCGACTATCCCTCCATAAAGAATTCAAGTTACAAAAGAAGAAAAGGAAAATCCTCTAAAGATGTAATCGTTGCTGAATGTTCCTTCCATAGTTGAAATTTTTTATACTGGATTTGCGAACCTGGTTTATATATAGTAACAAATTAAAGAAAGAAACAGAAATAATGTGTGAATATTTCTTTTTCTTCCTTTTTCAATTTTCTTTTTATCCGCGTGATACCCTTTCAGTTATTTTTACCGTCATTTCCGATAAGATCAATGTCTTTTTTATCGCGACGGTGTCGCGGCACGAAATCCAAAGCATGCATCACGTAACCGATCCCACAGAGTTGTCCTTCAGGTCAAACCTGTTAGGAAATTTCACAGCGATACAATGGAAAGAAATAAACAGAGTAATCAATTTAAACGAGACCATGAAATTATGTATCAGATTCTGTTATTTTTCTTTGTCTTTAATTTCACTCGATTTCTCCTTTACTCGATGTACAAGGGTTTTTTTTTCGTGAAAAAGAACAGTAGGTTAAAAAATTAGTTACTAAATACCACGTATTCGTGCTCGCTCGTGCTCAATTTAACGTCATTATTTCTCTCATGATCCAAGAGCACGAGAAATCGTTCGTTCCGAATATGAAATTCGCTCGAATAATCACCCTAAATCTGAACCTCGAGGATATTGTTAAAACATTCCTGATAATCCTTATGATGTACATGATGTTTCCTCAATGAGCGATGAAAAATACGCCTTAGCCACGTACCACTCTTATCTTGCCTTTCTTGGAACCAAATGCATTCCGTATAAACGCTCTCCTGTGCCTTGTCGCGTTGACCTACAAGGTCTTTGAATGCCGCCTGATAACGATCTCTTGATAAACTGACCTCTTATGAATTCTGGTGATATTCGATGATAATATGGTCATGGTAATCGCGTTACATATAGCGTAACCGTACCGACTGCGTCATTAATTACGTATATGCATGCTAATGGCCTAATCTGGCATCTTTATAATTGCCTCTGAAATGCAAATACATATTACCTTGTACCGCGTGCATGATTGATTTGAGTAATATAAACATACTAATATTGTAATAGTAACTAATATTGTAATAATGTAAGTATATGAACAAGTAATAATATAAGTACATGAATAAGTATATATACTAATATAAGTATACTAATATTGTAATAATATAAGTATGCTAATAACTAATATTGTAATGTAAGTATATGAACAAGTAATAATATAAGTACATGAATAAATATATATACTAATATAAATATACTAATATTGTAATAATATAAGTATGCTAATAACTAATATTGTAATAATGTAAGTATATGAACAAGTAATAATATAAGTATATGAATAAATATATATACTAATATAAGTATACTAATATTGTAATAATATAAGTATAAGCTAATAACTAATATTATAATAATATAAGTACACTAATAACTAATGTAATAATACAAGTATATTAATAACTGATGTTGCAATAATACAAGTATACTAGTAACTAATATTGTAACAGTAAAAGTATGCCAATAACTGATATTGTAACTTGAATTTAATGTTGCAAGAGGTTTGTTATCAGTGTCTGTTGTGTTTAGAAATTCGTGGATCACAGCGAAACAAAGAGAAGCATGAGCAACGCTAATTAATGTGCCACAATAGGCGTATGTCGTAAACGCGAGGAAGACAGCCGATGGCAGCAGGATAAGTAGAGGCCAGTCAACTGTAGGGTGAAAGCAACTTCGAGCAGGTAGCACGGCGCAAAGACGATATCACTGTAACGATTGTTTCACTTTAACGCGTGTCACGTTTATAAACTGGCACCGGGATTAATGGCTTAACTGTTCCAGAACGGATATTAAGAATAAAAAAAGAAAAAAAAAAAAAAAGAAGAGTACATCAGAAAAAATATTATTGAAAGTACGCTACATTATTACTAAAATTCATAATACATTGTTAGTAAAATAATTACAAATTAATCACGTATGTTAATTCAACTCTTCAACATACGTATTTTTAACTATTGCGACATTCGTCGAAAAATGTCGGATATCACTCGAACGTATTTATTTTTATTGCGAGTACGATACTTTAGAACGTTTTGAGGTTGCAAAGGAAGAAAACGAGGAGAAAA